TCGTAACCTGTATTTGGTCTTGCTTCCAAGTTAAGGGGTACCAGCCCCGCCAGACAGTCCAGGAATGCCTCAAGATTGCCTAGGTTGACCCTAGATAAGTACCTGATGGTGGAGCACCGGCTTAGGTACTTAAGGTACTCAATCTATCCCTGTATTGAGGAGCATCCGGGGTACGTATTGTCCCGAGCTCTACGGAGTATGTATAAGCAAGATTTCTTTTCTCTACCGCTGGTACAATTACTGGCGCATGATATCTCACGTCCATATATTGATTGCGTGGCAGGGTGACGAAGCTATCCGCATATTGATGATACCGTCGTCAGTAGTAGGTTAGGTACTCCAGATACTTGCGTAGTGGGCAGACACAACAATTAAGCTCATTCGAAGTATTTGGTATAAGTATAGGCATTGCCTCTGGAGCAGCAGCCCACAAGGAGGTATCCCATCGTGGGATTATGTATCTTGGATTGCCTGTCTAGGTAATCCAGGTAGTCTACTTACCTACCACCTGTTGCGCCAGTTGGAGTCTGGAGAGATGACAATAGGTACCTCTTGTTAAGTACCTCAAGACGGATACTTTGGTACCTGTGGTCCCACCCCCAACCTTTGTCTCCGCCTCCATGTCCTCTCATAGTCAGCATTTCCCCGTATTGAGGACCCAGTACGTCATTGCTTATACCGGCAGGCTCATGCTCATTTTGCGGTCCATCCTACGGGGCCTGCCGTTGAAGATTACCACGGCTCAACAAACCTAGGCAAGTGCTTGTTAGATCAAGTGACTAGATAAGGCTTAGGTACCTAGGTAGGTATGTAGGTACCGGACGGTGGTGTTGAATGGAAGGGGTCTCTTGAGTTTCGGCCTGGTTAGAAGTAGGTCCTTAAGGTACAAGGGGGGTTGCATCGTGATGTGCATCATGGAACGGGCTATCGCGATTCTTGCTGCCGCTTCCTTGGTAGGGCCGGCTCGACTGGCCAATACCGGCGCTCTGCAGGCCACGGTGCCTTGTCATTTCAAATAGGAAGGCAACGGCAATGCTGACACGCGCTGAAATGGAACTCGGGATGTAGGTCAGAGGTAGCTGCCCACACTATGACTTGTACCCGGGTCCAGTGCAAAGGGTCCAGCGCAAAGGCAGCCCGGCGGCGGGCGGTGGGCGGTGGGCTCGATTGCTTGCATGTGGATCTGACATCCTGGACATCTCACTCCATCAGCCTCCTCTCATCGCTAGCTTATACAAAGCTGGGTCAGGCCGTCTCCCGTCGATCTTTTATTACCCAAGCCGCCCAACAGCCGGCCGGTCCTCGATGCGCTGCTCTTGCGCCTGCTCCCGGACTCGCAGTGCTGCCCCCCCCCCAACAGCGCAGTGACCCGAGTCCGCACCGCACCGCACCGAGGCATCGCCAACCACCATGGCCGCGACAACCCAGGAGCCAGCTCTACCAGCAGTGTTAGCGCACGACCCCAACGTCCCCAACGTCCCCGTCGCCACAGTCGCTGCTGGCGGGGCTTCGCCGCGACATGATCCAGGTAGCGACGGTGCGGGGCCCAGAGTACCACCACAGCACCAGCGAGTCAGAGTCACCGACTTTACGCTTGTCCGAACTCTCGGTACCGGTATGTGCCCATTGGCTGTCGCATCCGCCGCTTGCCTTCTTCCTCTCCCTGAACCCTTCACATTCGCACACTATACGCCTTGACCCGCGCGCCGCCCCCTACTACCCGTCCTGGTAGCACGAATTGCCCATGGTTGCTGACATGGAGACGGCGTCCGTGGCGTCCGCTAGGCACCTTTGCGCGAGTCTGTCTTGTGCGCTCGGCTTTCGGGAACCAGAAGGACAAGGAACAAATTTATGCGCTAAAAATCCTGCGAAAGGTCGAGGTCATTAAGCTTAAACAGCTCGACCATGTCCGGGACGAGCGTCGAATCCTCAGCGAAGTCGCCGGCCACCCCTTCATTACGAGGCTCGTCACTACCTTTTCCGACCACGAATCCCTCTACATGCTCCTCGACTACATACCCGGTGGTGAACTCTTTAGTTATCTGCGAAGGCACCGTCGGTTTCCAGAGGAATGGGCACGATTTTATGCGGCCGAAATAGTTCTGGTCCTCGAATTTCTGCACGAGCAACAAGGTGGCGTGGCATACAGAGACCTCAAGCCCGAAAACCTGCTGCTTGATGCAGAAGGCCACGTCAAGCTTGTGGATTTTGGTTTTGCGAAGAGGTTGGGTAGTAAAGATGACAAGGCCGTCGAAACGTACACTCTCTGCGGAACGCCCGAATATCTCGCCCCCGAGGTTATCCAAAACAAAGGTCACACCACGGCTGTAGATTGGTGGGCGTTGGGGATCCTCATCTTCGAATTCCTTACTGGTTATCCCCCGTTCTGGCACCAAAACCCAATGGAAATTTACAAACAGTAAGTCCCCACCTGGTTATCTCCCTCCTTCAATTCCACACCAACGCTTTCTTCTTCTTTTAGGATCATAGAGCGACCGGTTGTTTTTCCTCAAGAGCCGCCTATTTCTCGAGATGCACAGGATATCATTCGGTCGTTTTGCACAGTAGATCGCTCCAAACGGCTGGGGAACATTAGTGGCGGTGCCAGCCAGGTCAAGGCTCATCCATTTTTCCATGGCGTCGACTGGGAAATGCTCTATAGCCAAAAGATCCCTCCGCCGGTTAAACCTAACGTGCGATATCCCGGCGATGCGCAGTGCTTCGATGTATATCCGGAAGACGATGGCAGGAGAGAACCTTATACTGAGGCGATGGCTCAGCAATTCGACCACCTATTCGCCAGCTTTTAAGGGGCACGGCGAGACGATTTTGCTTTTATTTTGAATATAACCCCCTTATGATGCCCAACGGGCGTTCAATTGGCCTGCCGCAGGTCATGATGATTGAACGAGGGGTCCTTGATGATATCGTTCTCAGATAAGTCGGAGTTGTCAGGATAAGAGCGTGGTAAGCGTGGTATGTCCCCCATCTCAGTCTTGCCGTAGTCTCGTTTTAAGGCTAACTGGCTCAAGTTTCACTCTACAGGGGCATGACTTCCTAGTTAGTTATGTTATTTGGTCAATCAAGCGAGTTAAAGGTCTTCTGGCCACGTATTATTAAAATGCTTATTCGATTTACGAATGATAATAATGATAATATAATGGTCAAACCTCCATTCCGGGCCACGGTGCTCGGTGAAGATGGAAACTGCTTTTGCTATGCATCCGTGAGGTGCATCTTCCCCGATGCGGACGTGATTTTGTTATTTACGGCCATTTCTTGTAACGGGAGCGCCCGGGCTCGAGAACCCAGATCATGTAAAGTGAACAGGAAACCTGCACTGCACTAAGAGCAGATCCCCCATTTTCCTTCATCCTGTGGTTGTGAGACCATGTAGTCTCGTAGGACTCTGAAGCCAACGAGGAAGCCCCCCACCACCAATATGTAGAAGTAGAATATTCGGCTTGTCCCTATATCCAGGACCTGTTAGCAGAGTCATCAGTTCAGCATCAGCCCGAAGTCAGTCATGTGGCGGGTTTCCTCCCGAGAATGATTTAATTGCAGACGGCAATTCTCGTCGCTTGGGGCCAACTCCGAGTCATAACGCCAAGGGTACTGCCAATTGATCTAATATCAGACTTTTGAGTGCAGCCCTCAACTGCAGTAAGATGGTATACCCCTCAATGCCGTCAGCCCCCGCAGTTACGCTACGCTCTTCTCTCTGCAGAAAGGTGAGCAGCCCGCTGAGCATCCTGAGGCTCTTGATTTTCCAGGCCTCTCAGCTGCCTGATACCACGGGCACAGAGAGACCGTAACGACCGCGCATGAACATATTCGGTCATTCTGCAAGCAGAGAGAGGTTCGGCTATCCGGTAAGCACGTACAGTATGAAGCTATTTACCAGAAGTAGAAGCATAGATGACCACGGGCTTGTGGTTTAGTGGTATAATACTCCCTTAGCATGGGAGTGGTCCGGGGTTCGATTCCCCGCGAGTCCAACGTTCGGAGGTTCAATTCCTCCTATATCATCTCTTTTTGTCCTTTTTTTTTTCAATTCAAGGCCATGTGTGTTTTTTGTCTAGTGCAGTTGCTGGAGAATATGTCTGACCCTACCGAATGCAAGGTTAAGGGGTCTGTTAATTTTTAGCGTGACTAGCGGGAAAGCTTAACCTATTGGGGGAAGCCTTGACTCCGTCTCGTTGTTCGTTTTCTCGTGATTCGTGTCGCATTTCTCCTCGGAGTAGGTATTGTGTTCAAAAATCCACGTATCGAGCGTGAAAGGGCAGCGTCCGCACTTCGCCAGCTCTAGCACTTAGAGCGCCTAAGACGTGTCATCGCAGCCAGGAGTAGAGGCTCTCTCCATTGAGAACCCAAGCCAGTTCTCTGCGCCTTCTTTGTCTCTGACGATCCGAAACATGAAAGATTCGGCAAATATGAGCTCTAGGTTGATACTAGTCCAGGGTATATCGTAGGCTCTGAAGAGCGTTCGGCGTTCTTTAAAATCAGGATCGAGAGAGCATCTTTTCACATTTTTTCATGTTGCTCGCACGGAGTCCAGTCATCCGGCTACGCCATGTTATGCAGGATAGAAACTCAAAGCCTTGAAGTAGACCGCTCTCTCTCTCTCACTGCTTGTTGCTACATAAAGAAGATAAGTTCGAGCAAAGCTCAGAATTTGTTTAGTGTGAGTAAGATACGCCCAGAATTCAGATGAGTGGTATAAGGTAATCCATATCACGGGGTCGAAGCCATTTTATGTTCCTAAGGTGAGCCCGGAGGTTTTTAGAGGGAAAGTAATCGCAGTAACTAACTATTATGACTAGGTGGTATGCGGAGCACGATGCGTCAGTCCAGCGCGTTACTCTGTCCCAACCTTACAATAGATATACCAGAGCACCTCGTTCCCGTTATTATATGCAACAGGGAATTATGACAGCCTATATAAATTCGCATAAGTAACCGTCTTCCAACTGATTAGGTAATCGTATCTGATCAGACACGGTCTGGTGGTCTAGTGGTATGATTCTCGCTTAGGGTTCACCCTACGCCAATAAGTGTCCTAACAAAGACGCTTAGAAATGCGAGAGGTCCCGGGTTCAATCCCCGGCCAGACCCTTCACTTTTGTTTTTTAAGTCAATTTTTTTGGTTCTTTATCTCTTTGGAAGATTCCATGACAGTTAGTGTACGTAGGCTAACGGCTGTGCCTATGCGCTTAATTAGTAGCACTACCTAGTTGCTAACCTACTCCGCTTGAACCCTTTCTCTCTTAGACTTCAAACAGAAGAGAACAATACTTACTTTCTGTAAGCCAATGCAATTGATGTAGTTCCTAAGGATCATGACGAGAAGTATAGATCTAAACTCGATCGTTAGACTGAGCCTAGCTTGTCCTTTGTAAGGAATCTGCCGCCTTACCAGCCAATCCCGCCGGCAATAGTTGCCGATGAAGAACCGACCTCACTCACTTCTTATTGGTAGCTATATACGGCAACTGGTCGTCCCATAACCCCCTTTTCGTGTTAGTGTGCGTATTACGGACCACGGTATACTGAAACGGGCAGGGGACGAGACACAAGTTCCCAGTCCAACGGCCAATCACAAAAGCTCTCTGGATGGTTAACCAACGCGCATCACTTTCCTGCTCCCTCCTTATTTAGATATTGCAACGCTCAGGTCCATGCTAAATTTCTGACCCTACTGTCGCCAGCTCCTCCTAAGCAGTTGTAGTGCCGGTATTTGCGATAAAGGCAGATCGCCCATGGGGTCTTTGGAAATTGGACGGGTACGAGACGGGTGAGGCGCAGCGCGTACATACGGAACAAGTTGGATTCGGGCGATCGTCGTGCCTCCTGCCTCCAAATCCGCGCCCTCGTCCTCGTGTCCAAGGATTACCGTCGCAGTAGAGCGTTGATTGGATTACACCTCTTGCCAGCCCTTAACATGTGTATTTAGGTACTGGGTACTTTATTTATTGTCCATTGGGAAACGTCTGTCTAAGCGTGTTCCCCCGTAAGACCCAGGCAGGCTGAATCCGTACCGCTCTTGGCGTCGTGACGTGCGGTAAGCTCTGCCTTACTCCCAGGTGACAAATGTGACCCTTGACAAGCACAAGCTCGTCTTATCCCATTCCCCCTTCCAGGATCGCCCATTGAATATTCTTGCCCGAGGTCTTCCCAACGAACTTCTCAACGTACTAGATCTCGCCCCGCTGCTCGCAGCGGTTCACTCTCAATTGCATTGTCTTCCCGCGCACTCCCGCGCTCTCCCGCGCTCTCCCTGATGGCGGATAAAGAGAGTTGGTGGTCCTACCACCGAGAAAGGTGGAACTTGACCAAGTTTGTTTTGCGGTGTATTAGTCTTGTCGTGGTCCTCATCTTAATTGGCGTGTCTGCCGCCGATGGCTCCTCGTACTACTCCATGAACCAAAGCGACTGGTGGTTTATCCTCCCCATTGTGCGTCACCATCCGCCTCGCCTTCGTCAACTCTCCGCTCCACTATGCAGGCTAGGCTAACTTTACCCGTCTGTGGCCCTCAAGGCCCTTCTGACTATCATCGTCGACTTCGTTGAGTTGCTCTGTGTTGCCCTCTTGAAGCGGAACCCCGGGATTCCTCCCGGTTGGCATATCGGCTTTGAGCTTGCTCTATTGGGTGGCAATCTCGTCGCCGTCATCTTCATATCATCTACGATCCCCTCAAGCGATGGTTATCCGTACTCGTATCCCGAATCAGGCATCGACATATACTTTAAGGTTGTCCTGACAGCCTTCCTAGGGCTCTTCATGTGAGTAGTGACAATCACCCCGCCACCGTCGCGATACTGACGGAACGGAATAGCATTGTTCGGTTCATACTCTTCGTCATCGCCTGCGTTGACACACACAGATACCACACCGCCGCCCAAGTCGAGATGATAGTACAGGCCCTACGTCGACAGAACCTCAACGATTCCTCATCCGCCGCCGCGGCCCTGAGTGCATTCTACCCAAAAGAAAACATCAACATTCGAAATCCTGTACCTCTCCAACAACTTCCCCATATGACACATCCCGCCGAAGACCCCAGCGACGACGCCAGGTTCTATCCCGAATTGCCAGAAAACCAGAAGTTCCTGGCCGACTTGCCCGCAAGAATACATAAAGGGGCATGATAAAACAAAACTAATCGACATTTTCATTATATCGTCATCCGGCATGAATCATCGGAGTTGGGGTTCGTAGGGGCGTTATGTGTTTGGGATCCCGACCGACCGACCCGGCCCTTCAGTCTTTCAGTCTCCTACGGATGAGTTCGCTTCGAGTCGACCTTGATGGCCGACATATTGTAACGATACTCCTGGTCCAGCGTACCGCCGTCTCATACCCAATCCGGGATTATACAATGCTGGGTAGTCTTTGACAGATTGGCGGACGCTCGCAGGTCGATACCAACGCCGTTGGCCCAGATGAGTCGGGTCTCGGCTCACACTCGCTTCCACCATATCCATACGTTGATCGTGTCCTGGCGTACACGTTCCCACGGCCCCATGCCGCCGGTCGCAACGGCCGCGGATCCTCTCGGGATTCATTTCGCAAACGAGCAAGATTACCGATGGAAAATACCCGGCACAGGAGTTGCTATCGGTCTCGTCCGTCCAGGCGTCCGGGTTACAAGCCTTGCGCGGAGCTATCATCGGCATCTCCACCGCTTGGGTAGACGGGCTAGAGTCCATGCTGAGTGAAAGATACCAAGAGTCCGATACCGCCTACTACCCGGAAAGTGACATCACTCGTGTGATGAGGCTACTGAATCCACGAGGCCCCAGGCGAATGAATGACCGCTGAGACAGACGCTGGGCTTGATCGACCAATTTCTACGAGAGCGGGGAAATTAAAGATAGTCGAGGAATCAGGGTGGCCTTTCCCCTATGGTAGAATAGGGATTAAACAGCAATGTTAATAATAATAATTTGGATATCAGCGACTGTACTGTACAAAGAAAGCTTCATATTACGAGCCTTAAAAAAAAGGTCATAGTTACACATTGGATGCCCGAAGCCCTCCACGAACCCAAAACGCCACGATAAGGGTACCCAGCCCACCCGGAGAGGGGTGGAAATCTAGTACTCCTTGGTCTATAAAATACAAAGCTTGGATGATCCTTTTCATCAGAGACACGTTGCTAGGAGAGGACTGGTATGTGATGGCGGGGACAAAGCACAGCTTGAGCAAGTCCTGTGCTTCTCCTCCCCCCCCCCCCTTTTTTTTTCTTTCTCTTTTTACCCCCGCCGATGATCACCGATGCCGAACTTCCAGTCACTGACGTCGCGCTTTTCCAGAAAGATTATCAACGCGATTCACATGCATATATTCATTAAAGCCGTCGTCACATTCCAATCCAGTCGCGGCCTTCGCAGAACCACAGCAAAGGAATCGGCCCGCCCACAATCGTGTTGACACAACCCTCCTAGGGATGCTTGTAGCCAAATTCCAGGGCGACTTGGCGGGACTCGCTGCAGGTATACCTGCAACATGGTTTGCAACATCAGTGGCTGCCCGTTCCGAGGTACTTGTGCTTCTAGCGCGCGAACCCATATCGTAGGGAAAGGATATTAGGGAGGTAGACTCACGCGAGAGGCATTTTAATGCTGCTAAACTTGAAAAAGTTTAAAATGTTAGGCGCGCACTTCGTCCCGTCACCTCTGTCGACATCGAGGCAAGGGGGGCATGGATTGATGATAAGACCACGTGGGTCGGGGAGGGCATATTTCCAGATCACTAGAAACACGAGCGCAGTCAGTCGACCGTTGCTCTGGGTGCAGGCTAGAGAACCCTGTTTGGGGTTCCGCGTTGGCCCGCGAGTCACACCTTGATACTTACGGGGTGGTGGGAAGAGAAGACGATGACCTGGATGGTTACTTACTGAAGCGGATCTCAGGCGGGAAACGCTTAAATTGGGGGAAGCTTTCGAGATGGCTTCGGAATTGAGGGACAGATCCGTAAGTTTCAACATACGATCTCATATATGCCCTGCTGTCTTCTTCTCCTTCAACGTGCCCTGCTTGGGTTGCCATGATTGCTGTAGGGCTCTGCGTAGGCCAACGATACGCAATGTGATCGATTGAGGTTATAGAAATCTTTAGAAGGAACGGTTAGTGATGGAGTAAGGGCTGTGCTGGAGTGGATAGGTAGTCAAACGTGTGGTATCTTATAATGCTTTGTTAAGGCTCCCCCATACAAATCGACTGGGTTTTGATGACTTACCTTCCAAGATGTGCCCAGATGTGCATATATAGGATCACAAGCAGCGCAAGGAGTTGCCCAGTGTTGGGTGCAGGCAGGATGTAAAGGTGAAGAAGAAAATGGGAGGTAAGAAGATGAGGTTGGGAAGGTGTGGGAGGACTTGCCCAGCACTTGGGTGCAGGCAGGATGTAAGGTGAAGAAGGCAATGGGAGGTAAGAAGATGGGGCTGGGAAGAAGTGGGAGGAGAAGAAAAAATAACCCTCAGAGGTGTGGGCACTCTGTGTTTATATATTTACCCAGGTTGGTGGTGATTGTGGTGAACGTCCGCAGCATGATTTGCAACACCTGTGCTTGCCTTACTTGCATCGACGCTAGCTTCCAAGGCTTTGATTGACAGGTGTGTATACTCTCGTAGACATATATCACACGTATTGACTACGCGCTGTAGGCACCAGCCTTGTTAGTGTTGGTACAGCATCAAGTGATCGGAAGTGCATCCACTGGCTTTACTTGTATAAACGGTGGACGTCGTCCAGCGACCCGCCAGCCCCCCAACGTACCTTAAGACAAATGGTGTACGATTAGATGGTTCACCAAGCCAATCAATAGGATAAATGATAATATAATGTATTACAAAATAACGGAAATTCAGGCAACTGCGGCAAGACTTGTATCCGGTTTCCATATTTAGTATTTCCCAATTTACTATGTAGACAGGGCAACCCATTATTTACAAGTAAAACGCTGGTTATTCTACTATTATACTTAAGTTACACATTAAGAGAAAAGTAAGGACGCGGTTCCGCGTTTGCATTACCCATGGCCCAGATCAGCCAGCCATTTCTTTCGGATCACTAATATACCTGCTATTTCTCTTTTTATTTTCTTGATTACT